GCCGACTATAAGATTGACCAATAACCCCCTCAACTAGACTATTTACTACGCTGCACGAACAAAATGGCTTTACAACATGGGCCTAGTTGGTGCTCATAGTATTCTGGTTGCTTGACCGTATTAGTTAAAAACAACCAATAAAGTTTTATTATCACACTTAGCAGTTTGAATATCATTTGTTTTATGGTTATGACTGTTTTGGTTAGATATGGTAAAATTAAATAAATTGCTAGTTTAAAATTTTTAAAGAGAAATTTTGATGAATGTATGTAACTAAACTGAGTTTATTTAGAGGCAGTTTCAGCGAATTAATAAAAGCGAAATGGCAGCAAATTCTGTAAAGAGACTAAAAACAATAGATAAAAAAATATTCCGAAGATTGCAGATACTAACTGTCATTTTAAAGTTATACAAAAATATAAAATCCTAAGCGTTATTGCTTTTGTATTCCACATAAAGAGCTTTTTGATATTTTATAAAACTTAAGGTTTTATATTTCCTTTAAGTATAAGTATTATAAGTAAAGTGTGTCGTAAAACGAAATTAACTAAACTTGAATAAATAAAAATATGACCGATATTATTCTATAACGTTTTATCTATTTAGAATTAAAAATATTTGTGTTTTCTTTTAGTGCCGATATTATTCATTTATGAATAATATAACTAAAATATAAGATACCATTGTAAAGACTATTGGATTTATAATTATTTAGATTGTTTCTTGTTTCTAAACAAGATTTCAAAATATTATGAAAATAAAAGTTCCCAACACAAGTAATTCCATGAAATTCTATCTCGATTTAACCATTTTATTAAAAGGAAATGAAGAAGAACTAATTCGAATCATAACATTGGTAAAAAGAAACAGAAGCATATAAAAATATCAGAAAGAAACTTAATTATAAATTGTAGAATGTCTACACATCAAATGACTAACCATTTCTCATAAGGAAATGGTTAGTTCTGCAACATGAACTAACCATTTCGTTTCAAGCACCTAGATTGCTCTAAGGTAAGTTGGGAAAAAAGTGTTGTGAAAATATCACAGTGGAGCAACTTCAAGCATTATTCGAACTCAGCATAACATTTATTGGTGTTTTTTTGTTATGTTTCAGCTGAGAAACTTAATTTTTATTGCAAGATCTGTTATTTTGTAACAGATATTAATAAAATCTCCCTTCATTCCATCGATTCTCACTTGCATCGAATTTATGACTGACTTTATTAACAACTTTTGCATTAAGATGCAAAAAGAGTTTTGTATCCATCTACTTCTGCTGAAATTTTTCCGGAAATCTTTATCGAGTCGTGCTCAAATCTATTTCAGTCGAAGAAATTGTAATTTTTCAAGAGCAAGCATTTTAAATTAAATGCATTTAAAATACATAGACGGCAATTTTACCGGGGAATAGTTTTGCTTTGTTTTCTGTTGTATTAGATTTTTTTAACAGATCTTAGATACGTTCTCTCTTACTAAGCTACTGTTTTTTAAAGACATCTTTAGTCGAAATGTGCTAATTTAAAAACGTTATATATATAACGAGAAGTCGCATAAATATTGTGAAAAGCTTCTAGGACACATAAGGATTAGAATAGCGACGGAACCAATGTACGAAAATGTCTTCATACGCCGCTGGAGGCGTGTTTCGATTAAAAGCTCTATTTTCATCTGCTTCGGAGCAGGTCAATAATAGAGAAGCACTCCTTGCCGAGTACGACGATATTTTCGGAGCATGCGATCCTATGCAATTTCAATCTTAATTATGTATCCTAAGTACCTTAGACTTAATCACTGCATTTACAAGATTCCCTGTTATATTAACGTTTTTAAACTTGCACATTTCAACGATAAATAGACTAAAAATGCTATTTAAAAAAATCTGTATCTTTAGGAACAAAACTTGTTTCTTATTTTTATCATTGGAGGAAGTTAGTTAAACTTTTATTTGTATCCTTCTCAAGTGTAAAGATACTTTTAAACTGCACAATAGTAAAATATAAATTTTTCATTAAAATTTACCCAATTATTTAGCTTGGAAATTTTTACTTTTTCTCACGAAACGTATCTATAAAACTACTTATGAATTCTATTGCATTTTAAGGCAAAGTATTACTGATAAAACGTCAGGTGAATTGTTTCATACGTTGTGAAGAAAAATACATAAAAACGGAGCAATTAATAGGACAAGCAATATCGATCAAGTTTTCGCAAAAAAGGAAGGAAAGAAAAAAGCGAATAAGAGTTTAATGAAATTTTTAGCGTAACTATGAATACTTTGTGATTAACAAGTTACACCATTTTTCATTGTATCTGTTGTTGTCGATTAAAGGATAGCGTGACGGAATTTCAGGCTAAACTAAGATGAAAGACTATTTTTTATCCTTGACGGATAACAACCCCTCTCAAAAACACTTGTCTGCTTCCGATCAGAGGAGCTTTACTCAATTTTTTAATTTTTAATACTGAAGTGGATATAAAGTAGGACCATGATAATCAGATCATTATTTTTTTTTATTCTTAGTACAATGCGCTTAAAACAACTATTATAATTATTTTTTGCTTCATCAGCATCTCAACCAATTAATTAGGAAGAACCTGTTGTTTTATGTTCAAAATATACATTTCGGTTTATGTTGAACCGTAAACTTTTATGTTATGATAATCTTCAAAGTCATTATTATGAATTAATATTGTTAGATTCGAGCATTTAACCAAGAATAGTACTGGTATTGAACAATGAACTAAGAATCAAAATTGACAAACAGCTAATTCTTGTTTAGTGCCGATACTTTGAAGAACTATGCTTAACATGCTGGTATTTAGTTCCAATATATCCTCATACAACAAGGTTAAATATTGGTATTTAATTAAAACTAAGTTTTAATGTTGCTTTTTNTCCGCTGACGCCCAGATAAGGCACTAGTTCTAAGAAACCAGGCTTTGAGCTAACAAACCAGTATTTTGTGGCATCAGCGGGACGTTGACGTCCCGCTGACGCGTAGATCAGGAGCTTGTCCTAAGAAACCAGACCTTAAGGTTTAGTATTATCATAGTGGCAAAAAGAATTAGCGGTGATAAACTAAATAAGACATTTGTAACATATTAAAGACTTTAAATTGGTGATATTTTGCGATGTTTAATTTTTTTTTTTTTGCTGCCCTAGAATCTCAAGCAACTAATTAAAAGGACATTTTTAATGCAGAAACACACACCTTGGTTTGTTTTGATTCTTAAAATTCTATGCAAGTGTCATACAAAAATATTCAACTATCTTTTTTTCACTATATAAAGTTCTTGGTATATTTATCAAACATTTAAAATAGTGTTGGTCATGATGCTTTGAAGAAATCTGGGATAAAAATAATCTTAAAAAGGTGAGGTATTTATGCTATAATTCAAAATAATAATAAAATTATTAACTTTAATAACAACTAGTGGGCTGCGCCCCCTGCTCGCTAACGCTCGCCATCCCTCGAAAATTGCTATGCATTCTTATATGGTTCTTGCTTCGAAAACCAAGCTCGCTTCGCTCACTACTAACTTAGGTACATTCAGATGCACAAAATTCTAAGAATTCAAAACAATCATTCAAATCCATATAGCAACCTTTTTTTTAAAAAGAAAACATCTTTTCAGTAAATACTAAGTCATTAAAATAAATTTGAATTCAAATAAAAACTCGTTGACTGATACTCATTTTTCAATGAATAACTAATAACAATAATAAAACAAATAAATTTGTGATATAAATCAAAAGTCGTCAAATAAATTCGTAATATATAAATTCGTGAAAAAAAGCGCTTTCGACAAAATACTAAAATAGAGATCTATCGACAAAGACTACTCACTTCTGCCTAGCTCAATAGTATGAGTTTTCCGCAACTGAATTGTTATTTCAGTTTCCGTTTTTAGAAGCGCTATATTGTTTATTTACAACTCGACCTGCCCTATTTAAGGGCATACGAGTGTAGATTCATAAAACATATATTATACACACATAAAACAACAGAAATTATATAAAATCACAGAAACTTGAAATCACAGATGTCAGTGGCAACAGCCCGACAGAAAAAAATACAGCATTACAAGTAACAACACAAAAAAAGGAATAACCTCAATGACATCTGCCAAAACTGAGCCATTATAAAAAAATAAATAAATAAATAGATTAAAATCCAATACGATCCCTTACGCAATTAAAAAAAATCAAAAGAATACAATTCAAAAAATTTAAAATCTCAAGAAGGAACGATAAAAATGGTCCCAAAGTTAAAAAGAAACATAATAACATCATACACTAATACAAAGGACTAAGTAGTTAAAAACATGACCTATAACCGGACCAAGACAAATTTAAAAAAAAAAAAAAAAAAAAAAAAAAAAAAAAAAAAAAAAAAAAAAA